AAATTTCATCTTATTACGTATCAGGGTAATCATTTGTCGTCTGTGGGTGGGTGGGGGGGAGGGGAAGGGGTCTGACTGGTTCCTAACTGACTGGTTCCTAACTAACAACCACTTGGCCGTAGAAGGTCTGGGTACGAGACTACCTTTAGGTTTCCTTTCCAGTCTAAAGCTTGGCTCTCATTTATTTTACAGATGATACTTGGAAGAGGGAAAGAGACGAAGTCATTGACTGGTTGCTACAAGAAAAAATTATAGGTAAATCAAACGTGAGATGTCTGCAAGTTCCTGGTCGGGATGGTATCGTATAACGCCAAGGCTGGCTTCTCGTCCGCTCTATGGTGTTCTACACGGAGAGCCAGCTTATAGCACGGGGACTGAGTCCACTAGTATTAAAACCCGTATACTTTCAAAAGAGTATTCTCGGACATTTTCTGAATTTTGTTTTCCTTTTCTTTTACGGAACGGATCGGGCCCTCGAATTGGAAGAGCCTTAATTTTTTTTTCCAGCTCGATAAGATAGAAAAAAGTGAAATGGAATTGTACGAGTAGCCGCCTCCACAGCGATGGAAGCACGTTGTCAATTTCCATCGTGATCACAACGTGCTTCAGAAAGATGGTAGTACTACCACAACCTTTAAGTTGAGATACAGCATTCGTCCTGAACTTCAACTCAGACGCAGCTTGCGATCATGTCCTCATTATTAACGCTGAAGGACGTGCTTTCCTCCGTCCAGAGGAAGTTTTGAGACAAGTCTAGGAGGAGCTTGCCGGGGATCAGGCCTTATCATTAGTGCTGAACCCTTAGCGTTTCCCCTGAAAACCAGGTGATTCTCAGACGCCCTCCCCTCCCCTCCTCCCCCGTGTTCAAAAATCAATGGTCCTTCAGTAAACTCGCACTTTCTTAGCTTTTTGTCTGGCATATTTTAGAAAATGAGGAGCGAGGTGGAAATCTACACGGGCACATTGTAGGCGTAAATGAGGCATATGACGAAATCAGCCGCCGTGGAGGAATGGGTGCGATTCCAATTGAAGAGGAAATCGTGGCCGTAAATGAAGGTAAATCGCCAACTATTCAAACTCTTGGCAGTGTTATGTTTCTTAAACAGACCTTTCTATCATATTTTGGTAAGACTACTGACTAATGAAACAATAAACTGTTGACTTATAAGGAGATAAACGAACGAGCATTCAAATTTCCTGTGGTCCCCAGTCTTTTGTACATTCAATGGAGTTTCGGAAGGTAGCTTTCGGTGATTTTTGATGAATTACGTTATGGAAGGTATTGAACCCAATCAAGGTTAACACAAAGTGAGAATTTGCCTTTTTGGATTAGCGCTTCAATGATCTTGTAGTTTGTCATTAGTTGAAAATTTACATCTTACATAGCCATTTAATTTTTTTGTCTTCAATCGGTTTCCTCTCTTGCGTTAAGGCTAGAACACTGAAGTTAAATTTTCTTCTGGTCCATACTGGATTATAACACGGCTTAAAATTCCAATTTAGATCCTTACAATCGTCCCGGATGTGGTGATCCACTGTTCGAAGGGGACTTGTGTCTAGATCCTGAAGACCAGGCGGTCGTCAATCACGTGGTCCCTGAGACAGACTTAAAGAGAAACATCATTCGCGACGGGAAAAAGCTTTGGCCGGGAAAAACTGTGTACTATTTTGTGGACGACAATTTGAGTAAGTTTTTTTTTCTTTTTTTCTCTCTTCTTCAAGAATTACAGTTATCTTGGTTTTTTCCAACAACAATGCAGTTCAAATGTACAATCAAAATTCAATGTGAGTTCCTCATTTTTTTCAGAGCGTTTACGACCCAAAATCAACGACGCTCTGAGTAAAATCAGTGGTAAGACTTGTTTAAAATTCAAAGAAGTTGGTTCGTCTTATGGAGGAGACTACATCAAGATGCACAAAGGCAATGGGTAAGGGAATTTTCGTAAACAAAAAGGGACTGCTCATTATTTCATCGTCAGGGGGGAGGAGGGGTCCTTAACGAAATTGCATTTTCACAATAACTGAAAAATACGAAAAAACGGTGGTGCAACCCATAACTTGAGTATCGGAATATAGTCCAACAGTTTACAAGGGGTATTTTTTGAAAATGCTGTTCGAGTATTAACTCTTTAACTAACAAGAACTAATTGCTAATTCTCATTGCAGACTAGCTTCAATAATCTAGTATTAGCACAAGATTAATTGCAAATATTAGCTGATAAGTTTAAACTTTCTCATTACCTGTTGGCTGGATAAGGTATGAATATTATAAGGAGACGTTCCATGTTAATCACTTCTTAGAGTTATAAGAGTTATCGAATGGAAAAAACGAAATTCAGTTGAGAGCTTGTTCAAATTTCCATCAGTGATTTCGTTAAAAAGTAGAAAGAGTTTCCATTCATTTCTTTATCAGTGAGGTACAAAAGAAATATCTGAGTCCCTGACGAAGAATCAAACTCCAGAAGTTCGGGTTTCGCTTTCCAATAAACAAGCATTAAGCTACGGAGAACTGTTAAGATCTTAATAATCAGTGTCACTCTCCCCAGTTATCTAACACTAATGTGTCTCATTAGGTGCTGGTCAAAGGTAGGTCGTGTCGGTGGAAGTCAACCTCTCTCCCTTGGGAGTGGGTGTGAATACGTGGGTGTTGTCATGCACGAGCTTATGCACTCTCTCGGTAAGTACAATTTTTACCGTAGGGACCCTAGTGGGTATTAATGAGCATAATTAACCCTTTGAGCCTTACGAGTGACAAGCATCTAATTTCTCCGCACGATATCACCCCTGAAACAAACAGTAAGGTCAGGAGAATAAAAGAAATGATCACCAACTCAAGAAGCTCTTGATCGTTAAAGAAATTCTCCTTTTCAGCTCCTTAGGAAATGTATAGAGAACAGTATGGAGAATATTCTTAGGGTTAGGGCTGGAGTCAGTTAGGCTGTTAAGTGGTTAAACATCAGCGATAGGTCAACTGCTCGAAATGTCAGGAAAAGTTGAAAACCATGTTTTTTTGTTTTCACACGACAGGTATTTGGCACGAACAGAGTAGAACGGACAGAGATAAATATGTGGAGGTTTTGTGGCATAACATCAAAAAAGGTGATGTGGATAATTTCGTGCATATGCTTGACTTAGTCTTTGCGATTAAAAAAAAACTCGTTCTCAGGCTCCCAAGAGCAAGCGGAAAGAAGAAAAATCCCAAGAACGAGGCTGGCTCCGCGAGACTTCACCTACAAGTTAACAAGAACTAAGGCTGTAATTCAATTAAATAATAAAAGAGGTGAGCTACCGCTAATTAATTATTATTTTCGCCTTGTTTTACAGGTTATGAGAGAAACTTTGACAAGTATGACCATGGCAAGCTAGACAGTCTAAATCTGCCGTACGACTTTGATTCCGTAATGCATTATGACAGGTATCTGTTTTCAGTTGATGGAAAAAAACCAACGATCATCGCCAGACGACAGATATGGAGGGAACTTGGAGGCCAACTCAGAGGAACTCTGACCGATAATGACATCGCAGAGATTCGGGCGTTATACGGGTGTTAACGGTAATTTCAGCATAAACGAAATAAACTGCCTATTTTTATCTCTTAATTACGACACGCTTCGTGATTGGTTAACTTAGCGAGCCGCAAACTTCTCTAAAACTTTCGGAAACTTGTCCGTAATTTGTGCTCTTTGCCGAACGGGTAAATATTGAGCTCAAGGTCTGTATTCATGAACAAGAGCCAAATATTTTTTCCGTGCAGCCCGTCCTTACTCAGATGGCCACCAATTTATTCGTTTTTTTCGTAGCACGGTGCCACATTTCGCGAGGCTGTGCATAAGGCCGTATAGCGTTGTCAGGTCCTGCTTGTGTCATCTCATACGGCCCTATTAGAGGACTTTTTAAGATAATGATTAACCAAAAAAACGCGTGGGAGAGGGGGGGGGGTTTGGGAGAGGGGAGAGAAGTGAAAGGCATTTGTTCTACTTGACCCTGTGAAAGGACCTCATAAAATGTAAGAAATGTTTTGGACTGATCACAATTGTCATAGTGCTGACGATCTATTAATTGTGTGCTTTTCTCGCATGTTTTGCAGTGAGACAATTAGAGTCTTCGATCAGGCATTCATCATCAAGAAGTGAAAAAGAAAGAGCTCACAGGAATTGAAATAGTTTCCTTTTAGCAACATTAAAGCAGATCTAGATCAAGAAGTAGCAGCTTGTTACGGAACGTTATTAACAGAATTGTGGCAATAAATGTTTGTAAAATGTATGACTAGGTGAAATAAATTCGTATTGAATGTTGAAGCGATGTTTGGGCTTCATTTTTAACAAATTTATTCATTTTCGCATGCACTCTAAAGCAAAGTGTGTGAGGACGAGGGAAGACTCAGAACGAGAAAAGATACAGAAAGGGGACCCTGGGAGCGAAGTTTTTCTCATCCCTGGCTCTTGGTGATTCTCCCAGCGGTTCGACTTCCGGGCTTCAAGTATGATTTATCGGATCGTCACACAATTGAGACATGGCCTTGATGGCAGCGCTCAAGGAAAGAAGAATCACCTTCCGACGAAGAATTTCATGAGCTTTAACAGCCTCTTCTACAGTCGAATAGAAAGACACCATAGGCGACAAGTTTGTTTCTCAAGGAGATTGTTTCTGAACAGACCTCGGCAAGTCGCTCAAATACAAAACTGTTATTTTTGTGATAAAGATTCCTTATATACTACGAACAGATCCTCCTTTTGGGCGAAGTCCGTCGCGCGAGTAAAAATATCAGTGAAAATAAATAGATGTTTGTGTGCCGCGCGGAATTCTGGGAGTAACTTTCGTGCGTCACACTCCCAAAGTTCCATGCAGCGCTAAAATTTTTTCATTTGTTTATTTTATTTACTCGCGCGACGGACATCTCCGGAAAGCAAGGGCTGCTTGTTATCGAGTCCCTGCATCAGCAGAAAAAAAACTGTAAGGGCCCAAAATAAGGTGCGTTTATAAAACACCAAAAGAATAACTACTTGGATAAAACGTTTGCTTTATTGTACAAACAATGTTTCGCTTTTAATTTGCATACCTTACCTCAAAATATCTGAATTCGTTTGAAGCCTTCTTCGTGATCTACCTCCTAAGGTATGCATTTTTCGAAAATTCCTCTTACGGAACTATAAATGTAGTATAACGAGCTTTTCAAAAGATCTCGTCTAAAAATTGAGTTATTTAGTTGCCATAACAGCAAAATTTAAAAAAAAGTAAAGAAACACGATATTTTGATTAAATTCCTGGCGACCACAATAGGTCGTAAAATTTGAATTGAAATGATTTCCTATCTTTTTCGAATAAAATCAATTGCGTGATTTTGTGTCACGTGGACTGTCACACAGGGTGTCACGCTAAATCGCGAACCCGAGAGAACCCCTCTAAAACTCATCGTGGTACATCATTTTAGGCCCACTGAACTCGTCATGAGAGATGGAGCCGTCTTCGTCAGAGTCCTCGTGATCGAAAATGTTGGCTACAACAGTCTTGTGGTGTTTCTTCCATTTCTTGTCATGTACCGGCATGCCATGTGCAGCAGCTTGTGCCTTCATGTACGCGGACACCTCTTTCTTGGACAGCTTCTTGTCACCGTTGGTGTCAATGTGTGAGAACATGTCTGCTTGGGGAGGAGGTTGTCGGATATCAAACATTTCTAGCTCGTATGTGAGCGTAGTGTTTCCTGAAGAAAGAAAATTGTCATTGAACATTTTCAACAAAGCTATGGCCAAAACTATCAGCAAATAGAACCATTAGCTAATAATGTCATCCAATCGTGGACCGATTTATTTCTTTCCTAGGTCTTATAATCCTTTTAAAAAGAGAACAGTCTGGAAACGAGACACTTGATATCGTTTATCCTTTTTTCAAGTTGCGTAAAGCCTCTGTATCAAAACGAGGCCATATCAAAAACCCTTATTTAAAAATGATTTTGACTCAAGACCATGTCCCTACGACTCTTTTCAAAGACGAAGCTGAGGTTGGAAAAAATTTAGCCTGGAAACGAAATTGTTCGATCTCTTCTGCGTAAGATGTGACGAGCTCGCAAATCTTCTTTCGCTTATTTGTTCTTCTGTGAAATTCATTTTGTGTCCGTTCTGCTGTGGACTTCAATAAGTTTAGATCCTCAGTAGCAGTCTCTCGATATCAGCCAGGGCCAGTAAAAGGTCTGATTTACCAAGAAAATAGTAAAAAACTCTCCTTTTACGGTTCAAAGCATTAACTGTTTTGTCTACACGTCCCATTAATCATTTACTTAACAGGTAATAATTGACCAGTGAAAAGACGCTTCGTGTTTTTAAACTCGTTTCATAAATAATTTGTTTTAAAGTAAAACAAAAACCTCTTTTTGTGTCGACAATTAGACAAATGACTTATAGTTTTAAACCAGTCATTACCAAATGTTCTTAGGTATCCTATAAAAGATCTTTATTGGAAAGTGAAAACTATGATAAAAATTGTTAGGATCAGATTTGAGCAACGAATTCATGTAGCTTGCTGTTATTTTGGACTTAAAACGTAGTAGAGTGTTTCGATGATCACATGAAAAGTGAAAAGCACCTCAGCCAGCTGAAAATGATAAGAGTGAATTATCTAAGCAAAGCTCATTACAGGATTGTCTCAAGAAAATTAGTTTACATAAACAAAAAAATGTTCAAAAGTCAAAACAAATCATGCAAAGAGACATTTTTCGGGAGCACGAGGGTAAACAAATTCTGTCTCACCTGGAATCGCTCCTGCTCCCTTCTTTCCATAACCAAGCGAGGGTGGAATGACAATTTTACGCTTCTGTCCTTTGCACATGTTTAACACTCCTTGTTCGAAGCCCTTGATTACCGTTCCTGTTCCTAGCATGAACTCAAATGGCATGTACGCCTTGCTTGGCTCGACTGTTGTGTCAAACAACTTGCCATCATCCAGCCAGCCGGAGTAGTGAATCACCACAAGATCGCCAGATTTGGATTTGTTTTTGCAGTCCTCTGGAGTGAAGAGATCATGAATTTCGATTTTGGCGTTTGGATCCACCTCTTCCTCTTCCTCTTCTTCATGCTCCTCATCTTCTTCTTCGTCGTCTTCGTCATCATGTTCTTCATCATCGTGGTCTTCGTCATCGTCCTTCGTCTCATCGTGTCCTTCACTCTTCTTTGTCCCTCCATGGACTTTCTCACCGGCACTATCCTTCTTCTCCGTTGCCAATCCATCCGAAGCTTTCCTCTCCTTTGCTGACTCATCTTTCTCATCTTGAACCACCTCAACTTTCGCATCATCTTCGTCCTCTTTACCTCTCTTTTTCATCGTCAGTTTAGCGCCTGGCTCACCAGAATTTTTGTCCGAGTTTTGATCATTTGTTGCAAGGCAAACAGCCAAAACACAAAAAAATAACGCAACGACGAGAGTTCTGTCCATGACTGCTGGCAAAGTTACGCTAAATGAACAAAAACAAGCTTGCAGTGATATCAACCTGCTGATATCTACTGATATCTACTGGCCTGATGACGTAACAGGTGGTATTTTCAGGACCACAGGTGTATCCTGCTCAATTACTGAAACAGCTTTATTACCACGATGGACCAAAACATGAAAATTAGACAAAAAAAAATTCGATAAGTCCGTAAGAGATAATGCAACTTAAATCCTCCCACACGTTTTCCGGAGACTGAGGGAAAGAACAAATTGCCTAAAACGCTTTTTTCTTGCGCAAATTTTGTGAAGCCTTAATTCTTTCCATGTTGTCTCCTCTGCAGGTGTCAAAAGCAATTGAAGATTATAATCTTAGCTTGCTTCGATTTTTTCCTAGCGGGTACCAAAGCCATTTTGGAAATAAAATTTCTTTCGTCACTCTGTTATCAAAATGGGATTATTCCTTCTTACATATACCACGGACGATACACATACTCAAATATTGAGAATCACCGGTTGGTCAAAGATTGCATTTGTCAATCAGTAGGGATTTTTTAAAGTTAATTCTGTGTCTTATTTCTTTGAATGCTCTGGCTCAGAACCGACTGACTATTTTCAAATAATTAATTTACTGTGATATTATAATGAGACCCTATTAATTCGACGCTTTCTTGTGTAAGTTAATTATAAGTTAATTTCATAATTTCACAAATCGATGGTCTTCACCTATACCTTTTGATCAATACGTCATTTTAATCCCTTTAACGAATGAAAGTTTTAAAATAATGAGAAGTGAAAAAATAGGTGAAAAAACCATTGAAATGAACCCAAAAATGTTATAATTAGGACAAAGAGCGAAGAGACGCGAACGTAAAAGGAAAGATAACACTCCGAAAGAGGGTGAAATTTATCTGAAAAAGTCATTTTTATTTTGATTCAAGTACTTTACTAACATTCGCTACTGACTTCCGAAGCTATTTTTTACAAGATTTTTACGTCATTGAGCATTTCTTGATTGGTCTCCAGTAAATTTCAAGCATCTTTGTGTGTAATGGAACAGCTTACCCAGTGCATACATCTAATTGTCTGGCGTTCCTGTGGTTTTTCTTGGCGTGTTGTTCGTGTTTTTCAAATAAAAGGCTGTCTCATCACAAAGCGCTTTTTCGGAGCCACAACTTTTGATAATTGAATTTTAAGAATGTTCAACTCCTTTAGAGTAAATACGAAAAGCGCTCCTGCACTGCAGTTTTTTTTGCAAGTCACATAATCCCAAAAGAGACACAACTTGCTAGAGGAGCTGAACTTTTTCAACCACCGGAAACATTGCCGCCATAACCACGCGACCAATGAAGAGCTGTCTTTGGTCAGTTCTGCCACAACTGTTCACAAAGCTGTGTAGTGGTATTTTCTGTCAAGTCAATCAGTACATCAGCTGACCCACTCAGCGATTTCTAGAGGGTAGCTTGGCCCTCTTTCAGATGAAATAACAAGTTCCCTGAAGAATTTACCTACAAATTTAAGAAAAAAAAATCAGTGTAAGTACAGCAGTGTAGAGTCTCGACAGTCACTTGGGGATGAATTGGTTTTCTCTTAAGAAGGTCTGTGATTGGCCACGAAAATTTAGGTCATCGCCTGGGCCAATAGTAGCAATCAATCGCCACTTGGTCGCACGTGTTTTTCCCGCGCTTATTTCCCTGCCACTTTCTGATTTGACTTATCACTGGCTCTTTTGATGCTTTTCTTTGATCTGATAGGCTGTTGTGATAACTTAGGTGTTACTTTGTGACATTCAACGTCAATAGTGTAAGGGCCACAACTGAGTTATAATGTAATTCGTCAGAGCCTGAGAATGACGAAGGGCTGATGAAACGTCGGCTAACAAAATCAACTCAGTTGATAAAACGAAAATTGTCTCGAGTTAGGTCAAGGCGAACTAGAGAGGTTTGGGTTCGAGGCCATAACGTTACAAAGTACTGCGAGAGGGTAAGAAATGAGATGAAGAACAAGCACATTACCTTTGGTAACAGTTCCGTGAGTGGCAAGTGTAGATAACACTGCTGATGCATTGACCCTGACTTCTGAGTCTGTAAAGCTGAGCTGCAAAGAAGTTTGTTAACATTAAAAAAAAAAACAAAAACAAAAACAAGTCGTGTCGTAATCGATGTTTCATTTCCTGACAGCAATTATTAGTTACCTTTCCCACTCCAATATTGACGATTCCCTCTCTGTCACACCTGTACGGATGACCCTTTTTGTACGCATCGATTGCAGCCGCAATGTTATCAGATGCAGTGCCTAAAATCAAACTATATAACGTCAGTGAAAACAAGTCTAAGAATAACTTCCAGTGGAATTTCAGAGCAGCTTGAACAGAAATAAATTTACGTTGACCTGTATATGAAATGAAAATCAATCAAAGAAATACTCCTCGTAGGCGAGCTGCAATTGTAGCAGTTGAAGTGAAAAAGCTTGAAAAAAAAATCAGGCTTTGATTTGCTGGCACTACTAACAATTGAGCTACAAACCCACATGTTGGAGTTGGGAAAATTTTAGAGGGTTCTTTTTTCTCAACGAGGAATTTGATAACAACTTGTCACAAATCAATTCATTGAATTCTAAAATTCAAGAAAGACATTAAGACTTTATTATTTAGCAGAGCATATCAGTAACTAAGTATTTCAAAATGTTTCATTAAAGAGTAATGATTATTGAAATAAAGCATAAATCTACGATTTCCTCATTTTACCATATCATATCATTCATAGTTTTAAAATCAATATTTTTGTTTTTTAAGTTTTAAATGGCAAGTATTAGATTAGATTGTTTTGATAGTAATTTCCATGATGGCGAGATTTGCAGATACAAATTTATGTTTAGTTTTTAATTGTTAGGATTACTTGCCTTATTTCAGTTGTTTTAAAGTGCATTAGATCACATCAATATGTCTATTGTTCTATATAAGTATTAAATTATTATTAATTATTATTTGACCTGGTGATGAAAACCTAACAAAGCAATGATCCTCACACGTGATCAGTGATTTTAGTTATTGCAGTGAAGAAGGAAATACTCAAACTGCAGTACATGACAATGTTCCTTCTCAGCAATAGTGAACAGTCTGTACAATGTGGATGATCATGTATTTGCAAGAAATTCCCCTGAATATCTTTCAAAAGCTTTCAAGTGATATAAGTTTTGCATTATAAACATAATTGCCTAGAAGTACATTTACATCTTTGCATGCATTTTTGTAGCTGGTATGCATGCATTTTTGTGGCTGGTTTCCATACCTCTGCGAGTAGTTGGCATCTTCTCTCTAAGAATTTTTTGCAAGGGTTTCATTTTGTTCAAAAATTCCAGTGTGCATAAACATTGATCAAAGTCTGTCACCTCTCCATCAGCAACCTTCAGTAAAACAGAGCAAAACAAAACAAAACAAATTACAACTGAAAGTGAAACTTGATAGCTTTTCTGCCTACTAACCCCTTACATTCTCTTAAAATTTCCTGTAGTGCTGATGAGGAGAATTTGTTTGATGATCAGGGGCTTCTTAAATTGGTGATCATTTCCTTTATTCTCATTTCTCATATTCTCATGAAAGGTTAAAACTGATGGAAAGCTGTATGTTTGCTATTTACTCAAAGACATTAAATTGATTTTGTAAATTGAGCTTGGAAGTAAATGGAGGGGAAACCTGTGGTTTGTTTGGCTACAAAATGCCCAGGAAGTTTGGAACAAGGAACAGGAACCACTACAACCAAGTCGAATTGTCCATTTTGAGAGGGACTACATCTTTTAGAAGAATCCATTAGGAGAGTAAACAAATATATTTCCTTCATCACCGATGCATTACCTGTTGAATAAGCTCCTCTTCGCCAACAAAATTTCCACCAGCTCTTCTCGCAGCCTCAGCAGCTTCTCCCTGAGACACAAAAACACTGGCACAGTTAACAACAGTGTAATGTAATCAGCTTTATAGGTGTGTCAAGAAATGTGAGTATTGGCTCCCACTAACCCTTAAACTCCCAGAAGTGATGAACATGTCACTTCTCCCTAAAATATCCATCTGTCATCTAACAAACAGTTAATGACGATAGCAAACAGTTAACCCTTTAACTCCCAAGATCTCATCACTGATTCTCCTTACTGTCTGCTATACAATTCTTATGATGTTAGTTTGGAGAATTTGTTACTGGATCAACTTATAATCTCCTAATTCATATTTTCCTATATTCTTGTCACTTGTTTGCTTGATATTGTAAGGAGAAATTCTGTCTTGGTCACTCATGGGAATTAAAGAGTTAATCAGAGTAATAAAACTTATTAGGTGGAAGTCAGTTATCTTGATCTTATGCTACATTCTCTTTCACAACTAATTTACAAGGAAATGTGTATTCAGTTAGTACAGAAAAATCAGACATTTGAAGTTTGAGAACTAGCAGCATTTTTTAAAGTTAAAATTTCATGAATCATGTTTGACTTTTTCACTCTCAAGATTCTCCTTACTGTCTCTCACATGATTCCTATAATTTTAGCACAGAATATTTGGTATTTGGATCCAGAATCTCCTAATTGATAATTTTCTTAATTCCCATTTCTTGTCTGCTTAATATTGTAATGAGAAATTCTGTCTTGGACACTCATGGGCGTTAAAGGGTTAACCCTTTAACTCCCAGATCAAATTTGTTATTCTCCTTACTATCAACCATAAAATTCTTATAATGTTAATTCAGAGAATTTAGTATTGGATCAACTAATTATCCCCAAACTGATATTTTTCTTTATTCTCATCACTTATCTGGTTGATATTTTAGTGGTATTGTAAGGAGAAACTCTGTCTTGGTCACTCATGGGAGTTAAAGGTTAATTAATTGTTATGAGAAATAAAACAACATTTTTAAGAACATGGATCATTTTTCTGTTTGTCAGGTTGGCGAGACTGAAGAATTAGTGACTTAAAGGCTTAAAGGTCTCCCTAATCCTAGGTGGATAGGACATTTCTTTGATCCAAGTATGTCCCTATGTTCTTTTCCATTGATCAGCTGCTCTTGAAGCTGTAGCTAATGTAACTCTACTTCACCCTTCTAAAATAGATTCTTACCCTAGCAAAAACAAGAACCTTTCTTTCGACTCCATATGGTTTGGGAAGCAGCATAAGACCGTGAAAAGGATTAATCTTTTGTTTCTGAAAAAAAAAGGAAACAAGGTTCTCACTTTCATCATACGTATGCTAGCTACGTCTTTGTTCAGCAGTACTACTAAGCCAATCTTACACAATTATTCCATGAGCGCACATGGAATATGTTTTATTTCTTTCCGTTTTTTTTTTTTTTAATTTATAACTGTTACATGAAATAGAAATACATCTTAAAAGACACTTGCCGTCTTTTCTCCCATGTCAACCCTGACATACAACTCCACAATTTGATCGGTGATTCCATCCAATGAAATGTTGTACGCACGAAGTGCACCCATTGCTTCGGTAAATATCTGTTTGGGTGGTTCTCGATAAGTCATGGCGTAAACATTATCATAACGCTTGAGATTTACTTTTGGCTCTCTTCTCCTCCTTCTTGATGCAAAATTCCGCGAGAAAAGAAAAATCTGACGCGATTTTGAAGCTAATCTGAAGCAACCCATAACACCAACCGGGGCCGCCATTCTTCTGATAATCTCCTTGTCAGCGGTATAGTCACCAAATTGTATAGGTCTGTGGTGTATAGTGATATTAAGTGTATCGACAGTTATGGTGCTGTTCCTTACTGAACGACACTTTTTAAAAACGTGTTTCGACAGTTCATCTGTCATCTTCAGTTCTGAATAATACAAAGTACAAAGTCGCATTTTAAGTCTGTAACAGCCTCTCACATTTTCATAAAGGAGGTAAGTTTCTAAAGAAACTGTGGTGCTGCGTCGGTGGGAGAGTATAACAGATAATTTAGTGTTAATAACTGAATTGAAAATGTAAATTGGCCACCATAAAGAGTAAAAAAGGCTGAAGTTTCGAGCGTTAGCCCTTCGTCAGAGAGATAGACGAAGGGCTAACGCTCGAAACGTCAGCCTTTTTACTCTTTATGGTGGCAAAATTTACGTTTTCAGCTCAGTTGTTAACACTAAATTACCTCTTACATTTTCAGACATCTTCATAATTCTCCACAATGTCGCACTCTTTGTTCTGATAAGTGTTTTAACATCTTAGATCACGCTTCCACAACTTTTCAACTTTAAATCAAAGAAGCTATCCACATTAAATGAGAGAAACCTACACTTAATCAAGTCTATCATGTTAATTTAAAACTTTCCTTGTAAATGCATACATTGTTCTTTTATTAATGTTTGTTTTGTCCAAGCAGCATTCAACGTTGTGCTCTGTATTATTCAGATCTGGAGATGACAGAAGAACTGTCGAAACATATTTTTAAAAAGTGTCGTTACATATCTGCTTCTATCAGGTGCTTTGCTTTGGTTCACTATATGTACCAAAGCAAGAGCTTATATAAAAATTTCAAATCGCATTTTGCCTGGCATCCGTTAGATCATTGTGTAAACGTTATCAAAATCTTTTTCATATTAAATTTTAACTGTTGCTCGTCGGGTACCTGGCCAAAATAAACCAACACGAGCAACACAAAACACACACGGTACAATTCTATTGAAACACATTTAAGTTAAAAAATGGTACTAAGAGATTTGCGGTTTAAAGGTAATTGGCGTGGTAACAGTCAAAGAAATTTAAATTAAAAAATAGTGTTTAAAGGAAATGCGGTTTAAAGGCAATTGTGTGATAAGAATTAGGTTTAACAAGAGCAAACAGTTCGTTGTTGGAGAGGAAGACCCTAGGTAACGCCAGGAGCCCATGGGCTCTTAGTTACGCTCATTTTCCGTAAATTAACTAGTTAGTATTCAATTCACACGACCGAAATAACATCTTACAAGTTGTGAAACCATAGTTAGCTACAATAAAAGTGTTATTAGCTTTAAAAATATAGTAGCAAAAACACGCTTGGTTATTGTACTAAATTCTGGAAATTTCAGGAAGAAATATTGAAAAATTTGCATCAGGTCGAGTGAGCTAAGGTCAGAAGTACCTCTGTAAAAGGTCAGGTTGTATTTTAAACCAAATCGGTATCGGCATATGCATTGAGTTGGTAATTTCCACTCCTATTAAAAAACCGCACCGGAAACTAATTTCTAAATAAGTGCGATGAGGTTAAAAGCTAAAGGTTAAAATTTATCAATTGTTCTGCCAAACAGCTGCATTTTATTTGTTGTTCTTTAGCTGACGGTTAACCCCAACCAAGACCCTTGTATAACTCAGTCCTCTTCACTGGACTCGGAAAGTTTTTGAAAGCGTTTTGACATGATCAGAGTGATAGTTCTGTTATTTGTCAGCATCGTCCTAGCTCTCAATTGAGTGTTGCTTGCTATAGTCAAAAGAGTATCAGATATGACGTTTCGAGCGCAAGGCCTTCATCAGAGCATGTCTTGTCGTAGGAGGCACTAAAAATTATTCTAAGAGCACATGTGTTGTTTGAATTTTTTTTTTGCATTTTTTTAATGTCAGCCAATTACATACCACCCCCCAATACCCATGTATTTCCATAACCAACAGCCGATGGTGTAAAGACGGGTTTACCGTAAAGCGAAATACGGACACGAGAGCGGCTGCCTACAGGCTAAACATTGTAATTAGTATAAATTACTATTTTGCCGGCATGCATCAGAGGACTGGGAGTTAGAGAGTTATGGGATCGTAGTTTGTAATTTGAGGTCGTTAGTAGAGTGAGGCATTCTACGGTCAGCCTTCGCCGTGTTGAGTCGGTAAGTTTCGTTTTCGTTGAAATTTATTCAGCTATTTAGTTTTTTTTTCTGAAATATTGTCATATTCGCATCAAGGTTTAATTAGAGCTGTACTCGCATAGTTCCCTAAGTAATTTAGTATTATCAACTGAGTTGATAACGTAAATTGGCCACCGTTAAGGGTTTCAAAGCTGACGTTTCGAGCGTTAGCCCTTCGTCAGAGCTCTGATTATTCCATAAGCGCACACGGAATATGTTTTATTTCTTTTCTTTATTTTTCCATAACTGTTACATGAAATAGAAATACATCTTAAAAGACACTTGCCGTCTTTTCTCCCATGTCAACCCTGACATACAACTCCACAATTTGATCGGTGATTCCATCCAATGAAATGTTGTACGCACGAAGTGCACCCATTGCTTCGGTAAATATCTGTTTGGGTGGTTCTCGATAACTAATGGCGTAAACATTATCATAACGCTTGAGATTTACTTTTGGCTCTCTTCTCCTCCTTCTTGATGCAAAATTCCGTGAGAAAAGAAAAATCTGACGCGATTTAAAGCAAATCTGAGGCAGCCCATGACACCAACCGGGGCCGCCATTCTTCTGGTACCGGTAATCTTCTTGTCAGCGGTATGGTCACCAAATAGTGTACCGACAGTTATAGTGCTGTTCCTTACTGAACGCCACTTTTTAAAAACGTGTTTCGACAGTTTATCTGTCATCTTCAGTTCTGAATAATACAAAGTACAAAAACGAATTTTAAGTCTGTAACAGCCTCTCACACTTTCATATATATACATATAGGGGGTAAGTTAAGAAACTGTGGTGCTGCGTCGGTGGGAGAGTTTAACAGGTAATTTAGTGTTAACAACTGAGTTGAAAACGTAAATTGGCCACCGTAGAGAGTAAAAAGGCTGACGTTTCGAGCGTTAGCCCTTCGTCTATCGCTCTGACGAAGGGCTAACGCTCGAAACGTCAACATTTTTACTCTTTACGGTGACAAGATTTTCAACTCAGATGTTAACAATAAATTACCTCTTACATTTTCAGACATCTACATAATTCTCCACAATATCGCTCTCTTTATTCTGATGAGTGTTTTAACATCTTAGATCACGCTTCCACAACTTTTCAACTTAAAACCAAAGAAGCTATCCACATTCAATGAGATAAACCTACACTTAATCACCAACTTTATCATGTTCATTTAAAACTTTCCTTGTAGATGCATACATTATTCTGTTATTATTGTTTGTTTTGTCCAATCAGCATTTTGTTACACACTTAAAATTCAACTTTGTACGTTGTATGATTCAGATCTGAAGATGACAGAAGAAATATCGAAACATGTTTTTAAAAAAGTGTCGTTCATTTTCTTAAATTCGTTACATATCTGCTTCTATCCAAACCTTACTCCAGGTTCTTTGTTTTGGTACACTATGATGTACCAAAGCAAGAGATTATATACAAATTTAAAATTCCATGTTGCCTGGCATCATAGATCATTGAGTAAACGTCATTAAAATCTTTTTCATACTAAATTCTCACTGTCACTCGTCGGGTGACCGGCCAAAATAAACCAACATGAGCAATACAAAATCTACTAGGTAAAATTTTATCGATAGATTTTTAAGTTAAAAAATAGTGCGTAGAGATTTGCGGTTTAAAGGTAATTACGTGATAATAGTTAAAGATATTTAAGTTAAAAAAATAGTGTTTAAAGGAAATGCGGTTTAAAGGTAATTGTGTAATGGCAATTAAAGTATTTAGGTTAAAAAATAGTACTTAAAGGAAATGCAGTGTAAAGGTCATTGTGTGATAAAAATTAGGTTTAACAAGAGCAAACAGTTCGTTGTTGGAGGGGAAGGCCCTAGGTAACGCCAGAAGTCCATGGGCTCCTGGTAACGCTTATTTTCCGTAAATTAACTAGTTTGTATTCAATTTACACGATCGAAATAACATCTTACAAGTTGTGAAACCATAGTTAGCTACAATAAAAGTGTTGTTGCTTTAAAAATATAATAGCAAAAATACGCTTGGTTATTGTGCTAAATTCTGGAAATTTCAGGAAGAAATGTTGGAAAATTTGCATCAGGTCAAGTGAGTCAAGTCCAGAAGTACCTCCGTAATAGGTTAATTGCATTTTAAAACAAATTAATATCAACATATAAATTGAGATGGAAATTTCCACTCTTACTAAAAACCTCACCAGAAACTAACTTCTAAATTAGTGCGATGAAATAAGTTATCCCACGCATATATACTAAAACACGACTCCCGAAATCAAAGCACTTTCTCTGATATCATTGAGCATGAAAATTTCACTCTCATCACAGGCGGCCCAAGCTCCAGCTGTGAGATGAGCATCTTGCGCAATAACAGTCATGGCGGAATTATAAGAGTTTGTATGGGCATATTTACGACCGCTCTAAGGAATAAAAAATAAAAAATACGTCAAATTCTCAAAAAAAAAAAACCTCACCTTACTTCCACAGTGTGTCGCTTGTTATCTGACCGCTTACTTTGATGAAAAGAGCCCATTTAAGCGAGTTGTTTATTTCGAGGTTTTCAACGTACATAAGAAAAGCCCTTGAGCTTGGGCCGCCTGTGCTCTCATATATAAACACGAGCAGTAATTCAGCTAATTATTTTAATGTCAGCAGTCAATGATTTTTGTCACACCACAGGCGGCCCAAGCTCCAGCTGTGAGATGATCATCTTGCGCAATAACAGTCATGGCGGAATTATAAGAGTTTGTATGGGAATATTTACGACCGCTCTAAGGTATAAAATAATACGTCAAATTCTCAAAAAAAATACCTCACCTTACTTTCACAGCGTATCGCTTGTTATATGACCGCTTACTTTGATGAAAAGAACGCATTTTAGCGAGTTGTCCATTTCGAGGTTTTCAACGTTCATAAGAAAAGCCCTTATGTACGTTGAAAACCTCGAAATAAACAACTCGCTTAAATGGGCTCTTTTCATCAAAGTAAGCGGTCAGATAACAAGCGACACACTGTGGAAGTAAGGTGAGGTTTTTTTTTTTTGAGAATTTGACGTATTTTTTATTCCTTAGAGCGGTCGTAAATATGCCCATACAAACTCTTATAATTCCGCCATGACTGTTATTGCGCAAGATGCTCATCTCACAGCTGGAGCTTGGGCCGCCTGTGGTCACACCTGCTTGTAAAACACTAATTCACTAATTAGTTAATTTTTACTGTAACAAGTTTAACTGATTAATAAATGCAACTTTAAAGTCCAAGAAAGTTCAGCAGATCCCCATATAACTGAGGGTACGTCTCGATGGAATGATAACTTTTATTGTAAATGGTTAACATTTTAACAATCTTACGGTAAACGGTTACAATTTCTCTGCGTAGAAGACAAAAGAAAAATTGCTATGATTTACGCTTTTTAAGCTAACGGTTAAATTTTATTGATTGTTCCGCCAAACGGCTGCATTTTATTTGCTATTTTTTAGCTAACGGTTAACCCCAACCAAGACCCTTATATAACTCAGACCTCTTCACTGGACTCGGAGAGTTTTTGAAAGCGTTTTGACATGATCAGAGAGATAGTTCTGTTATTTGTCAGCATCGTCCTGGCTCTCAGGTGAGTGTTGAAAGAAAAAAACTTGATTAAAAATGAACCACAAATAAAATGATCCTGACAAAATCTTGATTTTTTTTTTATTGTCGAATGGGTAGCAACTCTGCCAGAAAGTCTTCCGTTAAGCTGAACTTGGGACAAATAACGGCCATCCATTACAATGGAGCGCGAAAAAGCGTGAAAATAAAGGAATCAGGTAAGGTTAAAAAGGAATAGTTTTCACTAAGTTACTAAAATAATAATACGAACATCATTAAAATCTGGTTGTACGAAGTGACGTATTTGTATCTAGTAGGTAAGATTGAAGTAACGCTGAAGATTTGCTAACAAAAACATTATGGGAAGGAGAAAATGTTACATTTTTTTCAGAAAGAAATACATTTATGAAATCTTTCAAATCGATTTCTTACGTACAAGTTGAAATAGCGTTTGCTCAGGCACACTCTTTACTCAGTTTAAAAAATCTGCAAGTGCAGTTTAGCTGAGACAACAGGAAGAACGATAAGATTGTACTGCGCATGCTTTCCCAAGAAATTCTAGTTTTTTCCAAAGATTATCGTTCGGTTCAAGAAACTTAACTGTTTAAAAGTGTTTGTGTATTGGTGGAGATTTCGGTGAAAAAACGCTCAATGACACCGCAGGCATTAAGAGTGCCAATTTGAAAGATGAATTTTGGTTCTAGAGTTTTGCGGCTTTCCAAACTGCCTAGAATGATTAGGGAGATTAAAGTGTCTGGCGACTGGTTTGCATGCGTAGTTTTCATTTCTTTTTACTTCGCCAAGGTGTTCTCGGAATCGGTCACCTAGTCGTCTTCCTGTTTTGCTAACGTACAACTTTTGCAATAAGTGCAAGTTATGTAGTAGAAGACATTGGCGGAGATGCCCGTGATTTACATTATCAACTCAGGTGATAACATCAACTGAATTAAGCAGTAAGTATACTTCGACGTTATCCATTTCTGAGCAAATTCTCTGTTTTCTTCAGTTAGCGTCTTCATCTTTTAGTTTAGGGTAAAGAAGAATCGTATTGGCTGTATTTCAAGCTTACTTACTTACTGCACTTCTAGCCCAAAACTACCTGAAAGGGTTTGATGACGTACCTACTGGAATGACCAACGTGAAGCAACCTGGAGGTTCCTTGACTGCTGCTGTTGGAGATGGAAAAGTTGACGACACATCTGCCATTCAGGCAATCGTCAACCACGTTGCAGGTTCAGACAACAACAAGGTTTTCTTTCCTCGTGGTAAGTACCTGGTCAGCCGTAATATTGCTATCCGTGGCTCAGTGAAACTTCATGGAACCCAGAGCGGTATTGCAGTTATCAAGGCGTGGACTCCATACGCCAAAAAGATACACAACGCTAAACCAGTAAAGCATGTTTCCCTGAACTATCTGTATTTTGACGGAATTCGTGTAGAATTTGATGGTGCAACCAAAGGGCCGTCATCCACAAGTAACATTACAATAGAGAGCTGTGTATTCTTTTCATCGGGAAGTGCAATTCCAGGCGACGGGAAGAGGAGACAACTAGTTATGATGAATCTTGAGAACAGTGGTGTTTACAAAAACGTCTTTTTACGCGATTCAGGTGCATATGGAGTTGCTTCAAGATATGCCAGCACTCTGGGCGTTGAGGTAACTGGCAACGTATGTGGCCTCGATTTAAATAGTTTAGACTGGTTGTCCTCTCAAATTGAGCCAGTAAACCATTGGCGAACTCAAAAAAAGAAATTACAATATCTTAAGACTCATTACAATCTTGAATCTGACCAAGGCTTCTTTAAAAGTTGTCTTTATAGCCAGTGCGATAAAAGAATGAAAATAGCCAAAAACATTTTGAACGGAAGTCCCAATACCAGTCAGCATAGAGATCATGCCATGTACTTCAAAGGTTTTGATACCCTGGAAGTAAATAATAACTACGTGAGTGGTTGGCCTTCGAATCCATCAGGTGGCATCAAAGCTCGAAATGGAAAAAATCTTCGGGTTGTTCGTAATTATTTAGACGACACAAGTATTTTATTGTTTACGTACAGAAAAGCCAAGGCCTGTCTTCATGATGGTCTCAAGAACGTTACGGTCTACGGAAACCACATCGTACAGCGAACAAGGCTTGGTGGACCAAAAAGCGGAGTAGGTTATTATGAGCCTCATTACGCTGGAAAGGATGTGAATATCAAGTATTCTGCAAACGTATTTGAGATCGTTGGAGTCAGTAACTTGTCTCTGTTCGCATGCATTTGGCTGACGAATGGCAATTTGTCTCAACATCACGTGTACAGAGACAACATATATTATGGAACCACGATGTTAGTAACGATTGAAGCGCGCAATCGTATTGCAACATATGAAACAGGGGATATAGACCAAGAAATCAAAGATCTGTACAACTATACTGCATATAAACTGAACATTCCACATTATCAACCCACCACACCTGAACATCAGCATCCATATTCTCCTATCCTATTCCACCATTCTCTCTATTTTTCTGGCAAGGAGAACTTGTTTAACAATCAGGAGCTTGTTAAGTTGGTGATCATTTCCTTTCTTCTCGTGACTTTAGTGTGTGATTCAGGGGTGATATTTTAGGGAGAAATTCGATGTTAGTCACTCTTAGGGGACAGAGGGTTAAGGAGGAATTGTAGTTAATGGCCGGTGAAAATAAACACCTAAATGTGTTATAAACTATAGTGGGAGGTAAGGTAATTTGGTATAGTCAAAAGAGTATCAGATATGACGTTTCGAGCGGTAGCCCTTCATCAGAGCATGTCTTGTCGTAGGACACACTAAAAATTGTTCTGAGAGCACATGTGTTGTTTGAATTGTATTGTCAGCCAGTTACATACCACCCCCCAATACCCATGTATTTCCATAACCAACAGCCGATGGTGTAAAGACGGGTTTACCGTAAAGCGAAATACGGACACGAGAGCGGCTGCCTACAGGCTAAACATTGTAATTAGTATAAATTACTATTTTGCCGGCATGTATCAGACGACTGGGAGTTAGAGAGTTATGGGATCGTAGTTTGTAATTTGAGGTCGTTAGTAGGGTGATGCATTCTACGGTCAGTGTTCGCCGTGTTAAGTCGGTAAGTTTCGTTTTCGTTGAAATTTATTCAGCTATTTAGTTTTTTTTCTGAAATATTGTCATGTTCGCATCAAGGTTTAATTAGAGCTGTACTCGCATAGTTCCCTAAGTAATTTAGTATTATCAACTGAGTTGATAACGTAAATTGGCCACCGTTAAGGGTTTCAAAGCTGACGTTTCGAGCGTTAGCCCTTCGTCAGAGCTCTGATTATTCCATGAGCGCACACGGAATATGTTTTATTTCTTTTCTTTATTTTTCCATAACTGTTACATGAAATAGAAATACATCTTAAAAGACACTAGCCGTCTTTTCTTCCATGTCAACCCTGACATACATCTCCACAATTTGATCGGTGATTCCATCCAATGAAATGTTGTACGCACGAAGTGCACCCATTGCTTCGGTAAATATCTGTTTGGGTGGTTCTCGATAACTCATGGCGTAAACATTATCATAACGCTTGAGATTTACTTTTGGCTCTCTCCTCCTCCTTCTTGATGCAAAATTCCGTGAGAAAAGAAAGATCTGACGCGATTTAAAGCAAATCTGAAGCAACCCATTACACCAACCGGGGCCGCCATTCTTCTGGTACCGGTAATCTTCTTGTCAGCGGTATGGTCACCAAATAGTATAGGTGACTGGTGTATAGAGATATTAAGTGTACCGACAGTTATAGTGCTGTTCCTTACTGAACGCCACTTTTTAAAAACGTGTTTCAACAGTTCATCTGTCATCTTCAGTTCTGAATAATACAAAGTACAAAAACGAATTTTAAGTCTGTAACAGCCTCTCACATTTTCATAAAGGGGGTAAGTTTCTAAAGAAACTGTGGTGCTGCGTCGGTGGGAGAGTATAACAGGTAATTTAGTGATAGCAACTGAGTTGAAAACGTAAATTGGCCACCGTAGAGAGTAAAAAGGCTGACGTAACGAGCGTTAGCCCTTCGTCTATCGCTCTGACGAAGGGCTAACGCTCGAAACGTCAACATTTTTACTCTTTACGGTAACAAAATTTTCAACTCAGATGTTAACACTAAATTACCTCTTACATTTTCAGACATCTACATGATTCTCCACAATGTCGCTCTCTTTATTCTGATGAGTGTTTTAACATCTTAGATCACGCTTCCACAACTTTTCAACTTAAAATCAAAGAAGCTATCCACATTCAATGAGATAAACCTACACTTAATCACCAACTTTATCATGTTCATTTAAAACTTTCCTTGTAGATGCATACATTATTCTGTTATTATTGTTTGTTTTGTCCAATCAGCATTTTGTTACACACTTAAAATTCAACTTTGTACGTTATATGATTCAGATCTGAAGATGACAGAAGAAATATCGAAACATGTTTTTAAAAAAGTGTTGTTCATTTTCTTAAATTCGTTACATATCTGCTTCTATCCAGACCTTACTCCAGGTTCTTTGCTTTGGTACACTATGATGTACCAAAGCAAGAGATTATATACAAATTTCAAATTCCATGTTGCCTGGCATCATAGATCATTGAGTAAACGTCATTAAAATCATTTTCATACTAAATTTTCACTGTCACTCGTCGGGTGACCGACCAAAATAAACCAACATGAGCAATACAAAATCTACTAGGTAAAATTTTATCGATAGATTTTTAAGTTAAAAAATAGTGCGTAGAGATTTGCGGTTTAAAGGTAATTACGTGATAATAGTTAAAGATATTTAAGTTAAAAAAATAGTGTTTAAAGGAAATGCGGTTTAAAGGTAATTGTGTAATGGCAATTAAAGTATTTAGGTTAAAAAATAGTACTTAAAGGAAATGCAGTGTAAAGGTAATTGTGTGATAAGAATTAGGTTTAACAAGAGCAAACAGTTCGTTGTTGGAGGGGAAGGCCCCAGGTAACGCCAGAAGTCCATGGGCTCCTGGTAACGCTTATTTTCCGTAAATTAACTAGTTTGTATTTAATTTAAACGATCGAAATAACATCTTACAAGTTGTGAAACCATAGTTAGCTACAATAAAAGTGTTGTTGCTTTAAAAATATAGTAGCAAAAATATGCTTGGTTATTGTGCTAAATTCTGGAAATTTCAGGAAGAAATGTTGGAAAATTTGCATCAGGTCAAGTGAATCAAGTTCAGAAGTACCTCCGTAATAGGTTAATTGCATTTTTAAACAAATTAATATCAACATATAAATTGAGATGGAAATTTCCACTCTTACTAAAAACCTCACCAGAAACTAACTTCTAAATTAGTGCGATGAAATAAGTTATCCCACGCGTATATACTAAAACACGACTCCCGAAATCAAAGCACTTTCTCTGATATCATTGAGCTTGAAAATTTCACTCTCATATATAAACATGAGCAGTAATTCAGCTAATTATTTTAATGTCAGCAGTCAATGATTTTTGTCACACCTGCTTGTAAAACACTAATTCACTAATTAGTTAATTTTTACTGTAACAAGCTTAACTGATTAATAAATGCAACTTTAAAGTCCAAGAAAGTTCAGCAGATCTCCATAGAACTGAGGGTACGTCTCGATGGAATGATAACTTTTACTGTAAATGGTTAACATTTTAACAATCTTACGGTTAACGGTTACAATTTCTCTGCGTAGAAGACAAAAGAAAAATTGTTATGATTTACGCTTTTTAAGCTAACGGTTAAATTTTATTGATTGTTCCGCATAACGGCTGCATTTTATTTGCTATTTTTTAGCTAACGGTTAACCCCAACCAAGACCCTTCTATAACTCAGACCTCTTCACTGGACTCGGAGAGTTTTTGAAAGCGTTTTGACATGATCAGAGAGATAGTTCTGTTATTTGTCAGCATCGTCTTGGCTCTCAGGTGAGTGTTGAAAGAAAAAACTTGATTAAAAATGAATCCCAAATAGAATGATACTGACACAATCTTGATTTTGTTTTATTGTCGGATGGGTAGTAACTCTGCCAGAAAATCTTCCGTTAAGCTGAACTTGGGACAAAGAACGCCCATCCATCACAGTGGAGCGCGAAAAATCATGAAAATAAAGGAATCAGGTAAGGTTAAAAAGGAATAGTTTTCACTAAGTAACTAAAATAATAATACGAATACCATTAAAATCTGGTTGTACGAAGTGACGTTTTTGTATCTAGTAGGTAAGATTGAAGTAACGCTGAAGATTTGCTAACAAAAACATTATGGGAAGGAGAAAATGTTACATTTTTTTCAGAAAGAAATACATTTATTAAATCTTTCAAATCGATTTCTTACGTACAAGTTGAAATGGCGTTTGCTCAGGCACACTCTTTACTCAGTTTAAAAAACTTGCAAGTGCAGTTTAGCTGAGACAACAGGAAGAACGATAAGATTGTACTGCGCATGCTTTCCCAAGAAATTCTAGTTTTTTCCAAAGATTATCGTTCGGTTCAAGAAACTTAACTGTTTAAAAGTGTTTGTGTATTGGTGGAGATTTCAGTGAAAAAACGTTCAATGACACCGCAGGCATTAAGAGTGCCAATTTGAAAGATGAATTCTGGTTCTAGAGTTTTGCGGCTTTCCAAACTGCCCAGATGTGAATACTTAGAATGATTAGGGAGATTAAAGTGTCTGGCGACTTGTTTGGATGCGCAGTTTCCATTTCTTTTTACGTCGCCAAGGTGTTCTCGGAATCGGTCACCTAGTCGTCTTCCTGTTTTGCTAATGTACAACTTTTGCAATAAGTGCAAGTTATGTAGTAGAAGACATTGGCGGAGATGCCCGTGATTTACATTATCAACTCAGGTGATAACATCAACTGAATTAAGCAGTAAGTATACTTCGACGTTATCCATTTCTGAGCAAATTCTCTGTTTTCTTCAGTTAGCGTCTTCATCTTTTAGTTTAGGATAAAGAAGAATCGTAATTGACTGTATTTCAAGCTTACTTACTTACTGCACTTCTAGCCCAAAACTACCTGAAAGGGTTTGATGACGTACCTACTGGAATGACCGACGTGAAGCAACCTGGAGGTTCCTTGACTGCTGCTGTTGGAGATGGACAAGTTGACGACACATCTGCCATTCAGGCGATCGTCAACCACGTTGCAGGTTCCGACAACAACAAGGTTTTCTTTCCCCGTGGTGAGTACCTGGTCAGCCGTAATATTGCTATCCGTGGCTCAGTGAAACTTCATGGAACCCAGAGCGGTATTGCGGTTATCAAAGCGTTGACTCCCTACGCCAAAAAGATACACAACGCTAAACCAGTAAAGCATGTTTCCTTGAAGTATCTGTATTTTGACGGAATTCGTGTAGAATTTGATGGCGCAACCAAAGGGCCGTCATCCACAAGTAACATTACAATAGAGAGCTGTGTATTCTTTTCATCGGGAAGTGCAATTCTAGGCGACGGGAAGAGGAGACAACTAGTTATGATGAATCTTGAGAACAGTGGTGTTTACAAAAACGTCTTTTTACGCGATTCAGGTGCATATGGAGTTGCTTCAAGATATGCCAGCACTCTGGGCGTTGAGGTAACTGGCAATGTATGTGGCCTCGATTTAAATAGTTTAGACTGGTTGTCCTCTCAAATTGAGCTAGTAAACCATTGGCGAGATCAAAAAGAGAAATTACAATTTCTTAAGACTCGTTACAATCTTGAATCTGACCAAGGCTTCTTTAAAAGTTGTCTTTATAGCCAGTGCGATAAAAGAATGAAAATAGCCAAAAACATTTTAAAAGGAAGTCTCAATACCAGTCAGCACAGAGATCATGCCATGTACTTCAAAGGTTTTGATACCCTGGAAGTAAATAATAACTACGTGAGTGGTTGGCC